CCCAAACGCACCGGGAACACTCCCGCTGCCCCCCACCCCGCAGCGGTGGGGACAACATTGGGGACAACATTGGGGACAACAGGCTGGCTGCCACCCATCCCGACCCCCGGTGGGTGACGGGGGTGTCCCCACGCCCCCAACCCCGGCAGGGTTAACGGCCCCGGAGCCCCACTGTGGAGGAATGCGATGTCAGGGCTGGATTAGCCCCCGCGATCCCACAGCCCCGGCCGCGCCGAGCTGTGTGTGGCACAATCCATCACCCGCCGGCGTGGGGGGCCGGGGGGGCTCAAGGGGAGGGGGCTGCGTGCGTGGGGGCAGCGCGCTGCTGTCAGCGCCCGTGTGAACACACGTGTTCGCTGCGTGTTTGCGTGTGTGTGCAGGGATTTGGCGTGATGTGGGAGAGGATTTTTGGGGGTAATGTTTCCCCGCGAGTGCTAGGAAAAAAAAACACCCCAAAATCGAGGGGTGGTGGGAATGGAGACAGCCCCAAAATTGATGGGGGGAAGGAGGGAGGGAGGGAGACAGACAGAGGCAGTGACAGCTTTTGGGGTTTATGGACTTTTGGGGTCCATGTGCTCGTGTGGTGTCTGCACAGTGTGGGGTGTGCACGTGTGCATGGGGGCCGCGTCACCCCAAATCCTCACTCAGGGAGGAGCAAGGGAGGGTCAGAGCAGAGAGAACAGGCAGAGAGAAGGGTGGGGTGGTGTGACAGGGGCCATGGTGGGGACACACATCAGACAAAACCGTGGAGAGAATCAGGGTCTGCCCTGAGATGGGCAAAGCCCCGAGCCCACTGTGGGCACGGACACCTCAACAACCCCGAGACCACCATGGACATGGACACCCCAAAATCCCCGAGCCCACTGCGGGCACAGACACACGGGAAGCCCTGAGCCCGCCTAACCCTAATCCCGACCCTAACGCTGGCTGCAGCTCTCCTGGCCGGCAGGAATCTGCCAGGAACCGACCCTCCCTTGTGCCAGCCGTAGTCCAGGACCACGGGGACACATCCCAGCTGCTGTGCCAGGGCAGGGGGTCTGGCAGGGTCACCCCGATCTTCCCTTGTGCTGCCCAGCCCCAGCAAATATCCCCTGTGGAACAAACCCCATTTCTCTGCCCTAAGAGCCCAGCCTGTGCTGGGAACTGCTTCCCCTGACCCCACACKGTTCTGGACTCTGCCTCCAGCAGAAGAAACGTGTGGAAACCCCGCCYGCCGCCGCTGACCCCCCCACTTAGGCCGGGCTTTAGGGCCAGCCCCAGCCCCTCCGCATGGGGCAGCTAATCTGCCCAGGACYGCGGCTCCACAAAGCGCATCGCTTCAGGTTCAGGGGGTCTGAAAGGGGACGACTCAGGGTCATGATCCCGTGCTGGTGGGGGCTGCCAAGCTCGTTCCAAGGTGGTCCCCAGCCTGGAAAAGCTGAGGCAGGGAAGAACCAGCTGAACGGTGGGGACAGGGGACRTTTATGCCAGGATAGACTCGGGACRTCCCCCACTCCATCCTCCCTCTCCCGGCCCTGTCACACATCCTCATTCCCCACCCAATCCCAAAATTCTTCTCTGCCTTTTGCGCCACCCCCAGGGGAGGCTCAGAAATCCCTCCCCAACCCACCCACCCCTCCAGGTGTCCCCCAGCACCCCAATGCCACATCTCAGGGGGGCAAAACCATCCGCCCCTCTCTCCCACGTGCACCCACACCCACCCAGGGCCATGCTCTGACATGTCCCTGGACATGTTAACACACGCTAACACACGTGTGCTTCGGGAAGGGAAAGGCAGGCAGCCCCGCGTATCCAGGGCAGGGATAACCCATGGAAAAGRGCTGCAGAATCCCTGGAAAACCGGGATTCCCAGCCCTCCACCACAGCAGAGCTGCTCAGGAAGCCGTGGCAGGCCAGGCAAGGGGTGGGGGGGCTCCATAGGTGGTCCCTGGGCAGGCGGGCGACGGTCGCCACACGCTGTTTTCTTTGGCCCCCAGCACATTTTACCCCCCAAAATCACTCCCCTAAAACCACTTCCCCCTGCCCACACCTTCACCAGGCTGGAGGCTGGGTGGGGGGCAAGGTTTTGGGGTGGAGGTAAGGGGGGCACACACATGGCAGCAGCTGCTGCGAGGAATTTTTATGCTTCCCTCTTCCTCCCCCGGCGCTGGAGGGAAGCAACAACATGGAACATGTGGGACCCATAAAAGCCCAGCTCTGAGTCACAGGGGCTGTGGGAGCCCCTGGCAGGCACCGCTCCTTCCCATGGCATCAGGCATCGTCCCATCCCAACTTTGGGGGGGTTGGGGACATCCTGGACATCCCTGCCATCCCCAGGGATCGAAGGTCAGGCGTGTCAAGCAGTGAAATCCATCCTTCTGCTGCAGTCGGGGGACTGACACTGAGCCTGTTCCTGCCCCRATAATTCAATCCTTGCAGGATCCCTCTGAGGATGGCAACAGGAGGATGTGCAGGACCCAGAAGCGATTTGCACCCGCTGAAGGGTGGGATATACAACAKGAATCCTGTAAATCTGCAGAATTGCCTTTGGTTTGATATGCTGAGCGTGGAGCAGGGCAGCACCCTCGGGGATTTAGGGAGCTTCTTGGGGCAGAAAACGCCTTTGTCTGCTGAAAGGTGCCAGTGTGAGCATCCTCGGGCTGTTCCCAAAAATCCCCAGTCATCTTTTTGCCCACTGGGATACATTTGTCTCTCCTGAAATATCTGCCATTAGWGCTGGTGGTGTGGCTGGAGACCTGCTCTGTCCCCACACAGCAATTCCACCATCCCCTCTAGGATGCCCTCTGCCATCCTGGGGGCACCAGCKCCCCTAAACCCCATCCAGGAGTCGGACAGTGGGGTCCTCACATCTGGAAACATCGCCCCAACCTCAGCCTGGATGCAGTGGAGATGAAACCCGACTCTGTTTTGCCACTTGTTCCCACTCCGAGGCTGCTCTTTAATTTTATTTTATCAGCTGTTCACCTTGTTCTCCTGTGGCTTCCCAAGGGTTTGGATGTGCCCTAAGGATCTGGGCGAGCTCACGTGTTCCTAAGGGAACCCTCAGCCCCATGATGGACCAGGACATCCAAATTCTGGTCCCAAACACAGGGACAACAAAAATCCCACCACGCTCCGGGAGCGGCATCCAAACAATTTTTGAACTGCACACACGTGAACTTTGCACACTCGTGTGCAGGAGAGTACCTGTGCAGGTGTGAGGATACTCAGGCAGTGGGTTGGAAAGGTGGAAAAGCACTTTTGCCCAAGGATAAGGGGTTGGCACCACGGCTGGAGCTGTAGGATGTCACCAATGTCCCAGCTSCACTGGGTGAAGGGCCCTCGTGGCTTCCAGGCCACCCACCTTGGAATGGTGGAATTATTAAAGTTGGAAAAACCCTCCAAGATCCCTCCAAGATCATCCAATCCAACCCTTAACCCAGCATTGACACGGCAATCTCTAACCACGTCCCCAAATGTCACTTCAACACGATTTTTGAACAATTTCAGGGATGGCACTGCCCTGGGCAGGCTTTGCTGGTGACTGATCACCCTTCCAGCGAAAGAATTTTCCCCCAATATCCARYCTAAACCTCCCGTGGTGCARYTTCCCAGGTTCTGGCCGGCAAGGAGCGGGTCCCACCCGGAGCCGGAGCTCCACACCCGCCTCTCCCCAAACTGTCCCGCCCGGCCGGCGCGTCACAAGGTGTCCGTGCTGACTCATTTCGGGATGGAAACTTCCCTACTCCAGGGAGATCCTCGCAGCCCAGCCAGCTCCAGCACAGAGTTTGTTCCACCACCTCCCACCACACCAACCCCGGGGGCCCGGAGAAGCTCCAGCTCTCAACCTGSCCCCTGTTTTTGGGATGGAAAAGATCCCTGGAATATGGAGGAGATGAGGACCCCGCAAGGAACTGTACCCTGTCCCAGCCTCTGCCTCAGCTGGACGCAGCAGGAAAACTGGAAAGCTTTCCTAGGTCTGAATTTCTGAAGAAGAAACTTCATCCAGCTGCTTCCTGCTCCCTTCCCCCAAAAGCCAGTGCCCACCCGCATCCATCGGCTCAGGTTTGGCACACGCAGCAGAGCGGGAGGAAACTCATGGAATCAGGGTGTTCAAAAGCAACTGCCAGCTCCCCAAATCGCTTCCAGGGCTGGGAGCAGGACCCCAGCTGTGGCTGGAGTATCCAGGAGTTTCCCAGTCCCCAAACGCAGCATTGGAATGCCACAGCCATTCCTCAGCCCCATTCTCTCTGTCCTCAGCGTCCTCCCAGGAGAGGSTGCAGCCCCCAGACTGCCACCGCAGTGCTGCGTTTCCCCCAAATTCCACAGCCGCCCCTCTGTCCTCTCCATCSTCTCCATCCTGGGAGATGTGCGGCCCCCAGGCCGTCAGGGCAGCGCCGAGTGCCATCACACGGCCTGGCAGGACRTCAGGGGACTGGGAGCACCCATTATCCCCGCGCCAGCCCCTCGGAGCCGTGCCAGAGTCCCGGGAACAGCGGGTGCTGCCGGTGGGGTCCGTTCTTGGGGCCACCCTTGCGCCCTGCCAAAGCTCCTGGGTGCAGAGGCCCACGAGGAGGGTGCTGGACCTCTTGTGGACACCCGGGCCGGTGGGATGCAAAGCTCAGGGTGGCCAGGAGCTGGCAAGGTGGGTGGCACAGCTGGCACAGCCCCCCGGGACAGTCCTGTGGCTGCTGCGTCACCGGGGCCGGGACAGCAACTTTCACTTGGTTGCTGCTCCCAGTCCAACACTCGCGATCCAGGCAGAGCCGGCAGCATCCAGTAGCCCCCCAGTAGCCCCCAGCAGCACCCAGTAGCCCCCAGCAGCCCCCGAACCAGCCTCCCTTCCGCGGGCTCCACCGGCCCGGTGCGGCCGTCCCCTCCCACCCACCGGGCGCTCAAAGAGCGGCGGGAGCGTGCGGGCGTGGGCGGGAGCACGAGGGGACGTGACGGGGCACGCGTGGGGCCGATCCCCTCTGCCCGCCCCGCGTGGCCGGTCCCCCCACGCTGCGAGCCCCGGTGGAAGTCCCGGTCCCCCCGCGGAGCCCACGGGACGGCCCGCGGACGGATCGGCGCCATCCCGGGAGAGAAGATCCCGCGGCCCGGACCCGCCCGACGGCTCCTACCTCCGGGGGGGCTCCGAGCAACCCCGGGCGAAGCGGCTGCTCCGGCGGCTCCGCGTCCCCCGTTCCCCCGGTGGCGGCGGCAGCGGCGGTTCAGTCTGGGAGAGAAGCGGCACATCCAGGGGGGGGACGGCGGCGGCGGCCGGGATGGGGCGGGACGGGACGGGACGGGACGGCGCCCCCCGCACTCTCCCGGCCCGCCCCGGGCGCTCGGAGTGAGTTACCGGAGCCCCGCGGGGGCGGCGGATCCCGGCGGGTCCCGCTCCGCCAAATGCGGCGGCGGCGGCGCCGATCGCGCTCGGGACGGAGACCCCGGCCGGGAGCGGCGGCCCCGAAAACCCGGGATGGATCCGTCCGGGACACGCACGGCCCCACGCCCGCGCGCACCCCCCCCTCCCCCCGCACACGCTCACGGCCAGCAGAGCCCCACGCGTGTCCTTGCACACGAGGGTGTCCAGCGAGTCCTACGGGCACCCACGCGTGTTCGGGCACACCCGCGTGTCCCGCACATCCCGCGAACGGGGCCCCGCTCGTTGCGTGGGCACGCGGCAGCGCACACGCACAGAGGTGGGGACACGCGTGGGCACGGCTGTGGGGACCTCTGTGCACACGCAGACGTGCCCACTGGTGTGACGTGCGCGTGTAAGTGTGCACGCGTGTGTGTATGCGTGGGCACAGCCCTCGCACGCGTGGGGGTAACACTCTTGAGCCCACGAACACGCGGGCATAGGGGGCACAACCCACGCACACACAGGGAGGGCACAGCCACCGGCTCACACACGCGCGGGGGCACAAGTCGCGCACACGCGTGGGACACAGCCTGTTTACACGCCCACACACACGGACACGCGGGGGACATGGCCACCACCCCACGCACACTCGGGGGGCACAGCCCACACACAAGCGGGGTGGCACCCCCAGCCCACGCACACGCGGGTGCCACGGCGTGTTTACATGCACAAGCAGCGGACACGGCGCACACGCACAAACACACGCGGGTCTCGCAGCCCACGCCCACGCCGAGAGAACACGCCCGAGCCCACGCATTTACAGGCGCAGGAATCACAGCCCGTGATTTACACGCGCAGGGGGCACTGCCACGGTCCCGCACACACTCAGGAGGCACA